AGAGAGAGAGAGAGAGTCATCGGAATGTAGGTATTGCGCTCGTTGTGATAGAAATAACGGGCACATTGTAGCCCATTCGGATATCGTCCCGATCGATTTTCACTGCGGGGGCTTTTATCTAGATCATTAAATGTATTACAGCGGAGCTTTATAGCGTTGCTGCAACGAGCTTCTGTAAAAGCGATGAAATCGAATGGACCGGAGGGAACTTAATCGACGCTCGGCAAAACGAATGCGGTGTTCCAACGAGAATTTATTCCGACGAATTCATATCGCGTACGACAGAAGCAATCGCGCGCGCATTGAAGAGAGACCGCGTTTACGCGGTAAATGCATGATTCTGATGGCAAATCCATTCCGAATGAATTTTCACGCGATTTCATCGTTCGCGTCGGCAGCAGACACCTTCTTGGTGGATGTAGAAAAACTCGGCGATTAGATCGCCAGTTAATTTTCCGCCGTGTTTGATAGCCGAGGCAAAAATATCGCTGTTATAGGCATTTAGCCTGTCAATACAAAGTATTGCGAGGGAAAGATCGATCGTGAGAGGCCGAGAGAAAGGCGATCGGCACGTAATCACGAGAAGAGGCTTGGCAAAGTTTTCCTTTTATCCGCGTGAGGAAAGGGGATAAATAATTGCCGTGACGTAAGATAGAGAATCATTTATGTCGTTGTTTGAAATATTTTCGTGCCGGGCGTTTCGTTCTGACGGAAAAACCGCTTTTCCGTGAGAACGACTCGCTACAAATAATATCGTTAATTGAGAATGAATGAAAAATCCCAAAGAGAATAATCTCCCAAAAGGCAACGCAAATTAGTAGTCACGGAACACTTGATGCAGCCGCGACAAGAGTATATAACGAATTAAGTAGGTTCTCACGGTTAATATATCTCTCTACGTGGAAACTGGGAAACGATTCTCGCCAGTGTTCTTCGCGGAGAGACAGTTCGCATTAAATATTAAACGCGAGTAATTGCCATGCTTTTTTGCTTAATTTAAAATTTAAGATTCCAGCTGCAGGGTCGCAACGGAGCTTAGTAAAATATGATCGTGGAATGCCGAATCAGATTATATACGTAACACACAATGTGTCATTTTTTATAAATCTTTCTGCGAAATATTATTTTCATTTTGTGACAATAGGACACATCTGATATATTCATCCCACATCTCCACAACGGGATTGAAAGTTGATTTTCCAGTTTTCCGACTATCTCCATTTTAAATGCTATCGGGAGCAAATCTTTTCTATCGTGCGGTTCGTGAAGATCCGCCAAAAAGCAAAAGTGTTGCAAACATTTCTCGCTCGATATTTATCCCGGAAGGTTGGTTATCATCGAGAAAATACTTAAGATTCTTCATGGTCCTCTTTATTCAAGAAAAGCTCTCTGCCTCTCGTAGTTTTCCTCTCTCGCTCACACCTCTTTTCACCGTTGCCTCGCGGTTCGCTCGTGTATGCGGAAGAACGTCTTATCCCGTTAAAACGCGCGGGCGTTCAATTTTCCACGGACAAAAATACACCCACGCTTCCTGGCACGTTCTGCCGAACGAGAACACATCTATATTGCACGACAGCGGACAGTAGCCGTATTGAAACGTTCGTTATGAAACGGCTCGGTAACCGATACCTTTTGTATGTCGGTTAACATATATCGCGGCGGAGTCTCGTCCCGTTTATTTTTACGGAAGAATTTTAAAATTAAGATTCAACAGGAGTGGAAAAGAATTCATTTGTCGAATATCGAGGCGACGAAATTAAAGATTAATTATTGTGATACCAATTACGAGTGTGCAGTGAGTCATCGGCTCGGTTAAAATGTCAAATGTTAATGCTACACTTTGCCACACCGGCGTGTATATACGACGTAATTGCATTCTTAAAGAGATATGATGTCAAAGGGCCGGGGAGAGAGAGGAGGGAGGACGGAGGGGGGGGAGGGGGGAGGGAATGCATTATTCCTTCGCGTCTGAAAATAGAATTCTGTTATTCGACAACAGTTGATGCATTTGCAGGAAGTAACGCGAAACCGTAGAACACATCCGTTTGAAGAATGCGCATTTCTAGATGTCGACGTCATTATGTTGACGTCTATGCGTATGTTTGGCATCCATTATTCGCATAGGAAATGCACGCAGCCGGCGACGGCGACGGCGTTGACGACAGTCAAGGGGTGCAGTTAACTCCTTGCGCGGTATGTCACGTGCATGCCTTCGATACCAATTCAAATGAGAGCCACGTTGAAACAATGCCGCGCAATGGGCGTACACCACCAGCCCGTGGTGCTCGCAACTAACCCCTTGAAAGAATCGGGCTGCCGCGCGCCGGGTATAAAATAAGAAACTCGAGAGGGGAAAAATATTCTTCCTCGACTCGACAATAACGGTTGTCCGAGGCGGCAAACGAAAATAATGCTCCGCCTTACTGTCCGGGAGTGGATCCCCCATTAGAAATTCAATGAGAATTCAATGACGCGTGAACAGGACTCGGTCAGGGGGCGGTTTGCGGTTTTCCGAGAAATAACGGGGGCGTGCAGTCTCTCGAGCAATCGGGAGGGCAAATAAATTCTGAAATATCGCCCCGGGGATGCCA